CTTACATACATGCATATACACATACACACACATATAAACATGCATACACATACACATATGCATACACATATACACACACATGCATATACACATACACTCACATACATGAATATACACATATACACACATATACACATGCATACACACATACACATATGCATACACGTATTCATTCACACTCACATACATGCATACACACACTCACACACGCATACACACATACGAACACTCACATACACACACGCACATACACAGCTCCTTCTACCATGTGGATCCCAGGGAGCAAACTCAGGTCCTCAGTTTACTGAAAAGCTCCTTTACCACTGAGCCACGGGCACACACACACATACACGTCCCCTTGTATGCTTATTTAGGAAGAATTTCAACTTTAGAGAAGTTCAAAATAGTTACAAGGAACTAGCATCACCTTCATGGGCTCGAGTCACACATCTTAGTTTGTTATCTGACATTACATTACCTCCTGTCTCCAGGGAACATGCCCGGACACCTATCTTGAAAGTATTCTTTTTTCCACTTGCAAGACAGTGGCAGCCCTGGCGTCCCCGGCCCCTAAGTCCTTCAGTGTCCTTATTCCCAGAAAATAAGAACAGCATTTAAACAACCTAGGCAGTGACTGGTGTCTGGGGATACTGTATTGACTCATCGCTATGGGCTGATCTACGACTCAGATTTCAATTTTTCCAGTTGCCTGCACGGTCCTTTGGAATGGTTTTTCCCTTAAACCAAGACCCAATCTCGGCTACACGCTGCCTGTAGCCATGGTCAGTTTTTCCGTTGTCTCTTAAAACAGTAACAGCTCCCTGCCTACCTTCGCTTTACATACCACTGACATTTTTTTTTTTTTTTAAGAGTCCAGGCCAGTTTTGTAAAATGGCTGTTTAAAATTCCAAGACTTCATTGCTGGTCTTCAGGGACTGGGTAAGATCTGCCCCACCCCATACATTCTGTCTCCCACTGGACCTACAGATCCTCTGATACCTCACCCAGCTCTGTTTCTGCATTCTGTCAACTTTCTGCTCTTCAGACACACAAAAGAGTTCACTCTGGGGATGGCTGAGGTCAAGCCCTCTGACCTGGCCCTTCACCCCAAGGGCCAGACCAGACCCAGGGCATTTTATTTCCTACATGGCCTGTGTCCCTGTGATTTGTGTGTTTACTGCCTGGCTCGCACACTAGAAAGTGAGCCCCAAGGAGCTCCCTTCTGTTTGCTTCTCTGCCACAGTTCCAGGGCCCAGTTCGGGACCCAGTGAGCAGGGAGGCTCTTGGAAATCATTTGCCAAGCAAATGAACAATTGATTGAAGGAAGGAAAAGCAAGGCTTAGGCTGATGAAGCCTCAAAAGGCACCGCCGAGATGAGCTAGAGGGTAAAGTGACCTGTGGCCACACCTGAGTCCGATCCCAGGACCTCCACTGGGCAGGAGGAACCTACTCTACCAAGTTGTCCCCAGACCTCGGCAGCCCAGTGTGTACACGATGCAGTCCAGTGTGTACGCTCATACACATACACACATTTAAAATGTAATTTAAAAAATATAAAACAAGCAGGAGGTGACCACTTTAAGAACCAGAGACCCCAGCCGGGCGGTGGTGGCGCCCGCCTTTAATCCCAGCACTTGAGAGGCAGAGACAGGCGGATTTCTGAGTTCGAGAGCTTGAGGCTAGCCTGGTCTACAGAGTGAGTTCCAGGACAGCCAGGGCTACACAGAGAAACCCTGTCTCAAAAAAACAAAAACAAAACAAAAAAAGAACCAGAGACCCCAAGGGGCCCTTCAAGGTTCTAGAATCTTCCCCAGGCCCTTCTTTACTACCTTCTGACCAAAGGGAGGGTTCAAGAAGAAAAAAACAAAACAAACAACCTTATCTTCCCACCCCCTGTCTGCAGCAGCCAGTTCTAACTGATTAATCTTTCTAAATCAACCCCAGTAGGCTGACAGGGTGGATTCCAGAGTTGGGAGCCCATGGCTGGTTGCCTATTGTCCAAGGGCCAGGTCAAAGTGCAGCACCTCCTGTGTCCACATCCCTGTGTCCCACCCCTCATTCAGTCCAGGGTGTGGGTTCAGAGAAAATAAGCACCCAGGTACAAGATTTTGCTAACAGCACTTTAACTGAAAGATGGCTCCTTCCCAGGTCCCCAACTCCAGTAATTAAGAGTGGAAGCCCCGCTGGTCAGTCTCGCTGAGTAGCTATGAATATTCACTGTTCAAACTACAGCAGGACTTACAACAAGGGAAAAGAAAGAAGCCGCCACCTCTGCTTCAATCCGACTGGTGTATGTGTGTGGTATGCATACGTATGTGGTGTAAGGTGTATATGTGGTATGTATGTCTTATGGTATGTTCGTGTGGTATGTGGTGTGCTGTACGTGTATGTATATTTATGTGTATGTGTGTGGTATGTGGTGGTGGTGGTGGTGTGTGTGTGTGTGTGTGTATTTTCAAGGAACGGTATCTAGGTATGTAGCATAGGCTGGCCGGCCCCAATTACCCCTGTTCCCTCTATCTCTGCCTCTCTGAGTGCTGAGTAGGTGTGAGCCTCCATACTGATGCCCTGTTCTTTTTTTATTATTATTTTTTTTATTTCATCTGAGGAAGGGGCTAGAGTCCTCAGCCAAACCCACATCAGAGTAGAAAGCTTTGCTTACACCAGACCCTCACCCAACAGCCCTGCTCCCCTGGGGTTACCAGGTCAAGCTCCCCCTGCCTTGTGAACTTTTACAGGGGCTTCTGCACCCCAGCAGCCATGGGCACATCCTCCAACCAGACCAGCCCAGAGGTAACAAAAACCCTCTTCCCTCTTGGCTGCGTGACCCTAGCAAATTGCTCAGTTTCTCTGACATTTTATACAAAAGTAAACAAATAAAGACCGGTCTGATAAGGCTGGCAAGATCTAAGGGGCTGGCAGCCAGAAAAAAGGCACAGGGTGGTGCCCTGTGCAAAGATCTAGCACCTGCACCCCCTGCAAATAAAGCGAGGTGGGGGAGGGGTGTCTGGCATCTCCATCCCCGCCAGTTCCGCTGGTTTGAATGGGGTACAGTCCCATATCGTGGTTAATGGGATTAAGTTTGGTTTCAGCTCTGGGCCTTGACCTGGGGTCCAGTCTATCTGCCCCATCTGGAGGTAGAGACAGATGGGACCAGTGGGAAGTAATAGAGCTGCGAGGGCCCCCACTCTCCCCTCTCTGGTAAGCAGGCCCTCAAGGGGACTGCAGTGACTTTCCTCCAATTTCCTCCAAGCCCTCAAGCTACCCTGTACATAAGTCGCACAGCTCCAAGTAGAGAAGGCCATGACACAGGATTCCAAGGCTGCTTCCAGCTGGACTTCCTAGTTTATGCCTCAGTCACCTCATCCACTAGATGAGGGGTTAGGCATGGAAGGCAGTCTGACTATGCTACTGCCACCAGGGCTGGAAATTGCTGTGCACTTAGAACCACGGAGGCAAGGAATGGCTTTCGGCGCTGCTCTCAGCCAAGCCTGGGCCAGATCCCAGGCAGACCTGGTGCAGGCGACAAGCTGAGATTCAGCCAGCCAGGAACACCCTGAGGTCAGATTCCCAGGCCACAAGATGAGCCTCTGCTGCCACTTCCAGCTAAACCAACTAACCCCAAAAGTCCGCAAATGCACACACCCATAAACCTCCAAAGGCCCTTCTCAAATACGGTTGGCCCAAACGGCCTTTGTATCTCAAAGCTGTCCCCAATTCCTGCTTTCGGAATGGTCCGATGCCCCACCTGGGTCTCCAAGCATCATTCCTGTATGAATCTCGTCTTGTCACCACCCCCAAGCCCCGAGCGGACGCGCCTCTAGTTCTCAAGGGGCACACGCACAACGGGGGAGATGACCCGGGTCCCCGCGCCCCCGCCGGCGGGGATCGCTGCTCGCCCCTCCCCCGCCAGGCGCTTCACAAAGGCCCTTTGTCCCGCTGAGTCCCGGACTCCCAATTCTAGAAAAGTTCCAGGAGAAAAAATATCAAAGGCAGAGGCTAATTCAGCGAGCCGTGGTCATTCTGGCGGACACAGGGAGATACTGAAGTGGTGGCTCTGGGCCCCCAGGGTGTCCAAGTCTTGTTCCAAAGGACGAGCGGGTTCCTAGGGAAATCGACCAGGTTGTTTTGTTTTGTTTTTAAAGAAGAGCTGGAGTGTTCTCCTTAAGCCAAGCGCAGAAACGAGGAGCAGCCAGGGAGGAGGGACTGGCTTAAGGAGTCGCCACCAGGCAGGTCTGCAGGTCCCAGGCTCCCTCTCTTCCGGCGTACAGTGACCAAGAATTGGCTCAGCCTTGCTGTCCCTCTGCTCCTTCCCTGTGCAGCCCAGGGAACGGTGAGGGACTGGGCCTTCTCAGCCACCACCTCCTGCGCGCCACCACGGGGTACCCCCTGAAGCCCGGGCTCTGCCAGAGTGGCGGCTGGGTTACACTGACCTATATCTTCCCTAGATAACCAGGGTCCCTAAGATCTTAAGGGTTCACCACATATCAGGCTCCTAAAACTGGGGTCACTATTATTCTTCATTCCCCCACACCCACCCCTGGAGCCGTGGAACCGCCCGGGACGCTGCTACACATGGGGACAGAACCCAAGACCCACCAGTGCTTGCCAAGAAAAGGATCTAAGATCCATACGAGAGCGGCTGTCTGTCTCCCAGGATGTGGACCTGGCACGCTATTTTCGCGCCTATATTTTTTAATTTTTTTTTTTATTCTTTTTGCAAACTCCACTTCCTCAAGAGCACTCAGACTGGGATCCCCTAGGGTGGTTGTGACTGCAGACACTTGAGCCTCAGGAGGACTGAGACTACCTGGTACACCAGGGACAGGTCTGTCTTCCTGGAGACCAACCTCTGTACTAGGAGCTGAGAGCCTCCTGCATGCCTTGGTGAAACCGGACCGAGACAGCCAGTTCCAGCCGCCTAAGTTTGACCTAGGCTCCGGCCCTAACCTTCCCATCAAAGCTGGAGGGTGGATGCCAGCGCAGTGCGCAACACTTACCCGGGTGCGGGTGTAGGTTGAGACCAGCCATGTATTTCCCGGGCGGCGGGGGACCTGGCAAGCCCGAGGAGGGCAAGCGTCCGGCGGTGGCCGCGCCCACGCGGTGGCTGTCCATGGCCAGGCCGGACAGCAGCGGCGGCGGGGGGCCGTGGACGGACCGCTGGGGACCGAAATCTCGGCCATCCATCCTCCGCGGGAGTGCCGCGGTCAGCCTCCCCACCCGGCCCACCGGCCTGCTTCAGTGGGACTTAAAAGTTCGGCCTCGATGTAGTCCTAGTGTCCTCGGGTGGCGGGCGCTCCGCGGCGTGCATGGCGGCGGCCAGCGGGGCTTGCGCTCAACCGCGGGCCCGCGGCCCGGAGCGTATGAACCGCCCGCGGTGAGTCCCCTCCGGGCGGCTGAGCGGAGATGAGGAAGGAGGCGTACACGGTGTCTTGGTGAGGGAAGATGAGCCACGGAAGACACAGAAAAGGAAAGGGGGAAAAGGGGAGGGGAGAGAGAAAAAAAAAAAGAAAGAAAACAAGTTTCAGAAAGTCGCCTCGCCCTTCAGGGTCGGAGAGTAGCGAACCGAGCTGGTGGCCAGAAATAAAACCGAGAGTAGCCGCCCCCTCTCCTAGAAATGCAAAGACCTCTGGTCCTTCCTCCAGTAGTTCAGGGTTCCCAGGGGCCTGGCTCAGGAAAGCGGCCCCGGCTCGCTGTGTCCAAGCCCCGACTCTTGCCTGCGAAGTCCTCCGTAACTGGGGAAGGCCACTCAACCGACCGCGCCCGTTCAGCTAAATCCAAACCCGGAGTACTTTATTTTTCAGGCGTCACAAGCTCCGGAGGTTTAAAACTTCGAACGCTTTAGAGTTGGTCGAAATGTGTCCATAACACCATGCCACTATCTGATTCGCAAAGTTTAATGTTTAACCTTTTTGGGGCCCTCGTCTCCTTTCTTTTCCCTCCCGAGTTTTGGATCTCCTTGTGAGCCGACAATAATAATAATATAGTAAATAATAATAATAGGGTGTTCGGTTTAGGGGCTTTTTGTTGTTTACCAAGGTCTGATACGAAACGGGCTTATTTTTAAAGGAAGATCACCGCCCCCTCCTGCTGCCCCCGTTGGGTCATTGGGAGTCGCAGAATCCGAGTCCCCGAGACGTGGCATTCTCGCCCGCGAACTGGAAAAAGACTCCTTCAAAACAAGATTCGGTTTCATTTTCCAACGCGCCCGGGCCTGGGAATACCGATACCCGGAGGACATGGTCTGGTGTGGAGGATTTGGGGATCATCAGAGAAGAAAGAAGGGGGCTCCAAAGATCTCGCTTCTACCCTAGCTTTGCGACCCACACCCCCCAAAATAACCTACAAAGGAAAAAAACCTTAACACCGCGGGCCAGAGGAGGGGCGCCTCCCCAGCATCGGGTAAACCCCCCCCCGTAATTCCTGTTAAAGCTGTTTGTTTAAAAGATCTGTCGTTTTTCCTGTTCCCGAGGGGGACAGAAGGAGGTCTCAGAGAGCCCACCCTGCCCTCGCTGACTGTCCACCAGCCCCAGGCAGCTCTAGATCCTCTGATTCCAGGAGACCCGGGTCGCGCTAGCAGCCGGTACTAAGCTACAGCCACAGGCTCCTGGATGGCCAGCCGCCCTACGCCCAGACCCAAAAGTGCTCTTCCCCCAACTTTGCTAAGGACGCCTATATTAACGTGGCTTTGGCTACAAACACCCCCTCTTCCTCTCCCCCTCCCTCGCTCTTATCAGGCTCTGGTTACCAGAATCGCGTTTACTTTTGAAAAAATCTAGGACCGTCACAGCCTGGGATACTTGTCTCAAAGGCGCCAGGAGCTTCCCGAATACACTTAAAGATAATATTCTTTAAAGGCAGCGTTTTGAGAAAGGCAGTGCCCAGGCGCCCCACTTTAAGGAAGTCGGGGTGAAGCCCTACGGAGCAGCCTTTGCCATGGCCGAGAAGCTGGCGTGGCTATCTGCGGGGTTCCACTGCGTCCTCCTCTACTTTCCCCCTCTTAAATGCAGCTAAAATGGCTGAATTCCGGCTTTTAATTAAAAACAGCCTATAATCGAAACCGTCTCGGCGTCCCCGGGCTAGCCCGCCGCCTGCCGGGAACCGAGTAGGGAACCGCCGCCCTCGGCGGTGCAGCAGACTGAGGGCTCGGGTGGGAGTCCAGGGCGCAGCGATGCGTCCTCTCCCCCAGGGCCCTGCCCTCCGCTTCCCTTCTGGGGACCCCGACAGTTTTGGGGACCTCCTCCTCTGCGGACCCGAGGGGTGCGCTGCACAAGTTCGGGGAGCATCGGGGCCCGGAGCGTACCTGGCGCGGCGGGGCTCCGGGCTCCAGGCTCCGACGGCGACTCCGGCAACCGCCGCGGTTCCTGGCGCGGCTAGGCGCCCGTACTGCCCGCCATCCCTCGGCCGCCGCTCCCCTCCGCCACCCGCAGCCGCCTCACACTTTTTGCCCGCCTTTCCTTTTTTTGGTAGAAAACCGCTCCCCGGGCCGGGCGCGCGGCGCGCCAACTCCTCCGCCCTCCCGCGGCCCCGCTCCCGCAGCCCCCGGAAAAGCCAGCTTTCCTCCCGCCGAGCTCCCCGCTTTTTAATAAAATCCAGGTAGCGCCGGTTTAAAGAATCCCAAATCTCCATATACAGCCCGGGATTGGAAAAGGTACATTACACAACCCCCCTTTCAAGTTCCTCTCGCTGGATCTAAAAAAAAAAAAAAAAATAAAAAACCGAGGAGGGGGGGGGGGGGGGGGGACGGGGGAGGGGAGCCTCGCAGGCGAAGAAACACGCATTGTTCCCGGGTGCCCGCCCCTCCCTTCGGGCCAGCCCCCGGCCGCAGCGCATTGGCCCCGCGCGCCGCCCATCACGCGCATGTAAACACCTTGGCCCTCAGCCATTCCTATAAAACCAATTACGGACCTCGGGGCTCCAGCAGTTTCCAGGCTCCCCACGGCGGGGCTGAATGATCAAAACTGGTGGTGAGAATTTTTCCGAGCCGTTTCTAGGCAGCCCTCCCCCTCACCAGCTCCAGCAGACCCCCCTCCTTTCTCCTTCTCCCCCCCCCATCCCGGCCCCTCCTCCTGCGTCTGGGCTGAGTGATCAAAATAGAGGAAGATGGTTGTCGCCGCAATCCCGGGCATTGCAAAGCCTCTTGTCAGCTTCCTTCTTCGGGAGGAGGTGACAAGCTAGCCGGGAAGAGCTGGGAGCCGGCGGGCGCCTTATTGCGCCCGCGCCCGGTGCTCCCTCTCCAGGGTGCCACTCCAAAGAGCGAGGTTCAGACGCCAAAATAACTAGGCCTGCTTCT